TCTGAGTTTCTTTCTTACTATCACTTCCTTTAACTGTTCCTAATGCAAAATGAAAGTAGTATTGTTTACTATCCTCCCTGAAATTCAGAAAGTTTAACATCTCTTTCTGTGATCCTTTAGACTGTACAGAATACAACTGGAAATTCTAAAATAGATTGCAACATCCGTGGCATGCTTGTGCTTAGTTTTAGAATTTAAAAAGAAGCTTAATGTACAATTAAGTAGCTTTTTAAAGAAACTGTTTCTGCACATGAAACAGTGAGAGCTCAGGTGATGATCCCTAAATCCAAATCTGCATTTCTTCCTATTGATTGTAGATCTCTTAGAAAGAAAAATTGCTAGGGATGGAGCCCAATGGTTGAGTTCTCACTCAGCATGTGCAAGGCCCTGGTTCAGTTCCAACCACTGCAAAGTGAATTCCTAGAGCTGGTAAGCATTCACAGTAAAGCAGGAGGATAAAAAATTAACACATAAAAATAAGTAACCTTCTTAATACCACTAACAAACAGAGAAAGAAATCTATAAAGCAATCCCACTCACAATAGTCTTAAAAAAATATCTTGAAATAGATCCAACCAAAGAAGTGAAGGACATATAGTAAAAACTTTAAGACATTGAAGAAATTGAAAAAGATACCAGAAGATGGAAAGGTGGCCCATTTGCAGATCAGTAGGATTAATATTGTACAAATGGTCATCCTACAAAAAGCAACTCACAGGTTCAATGTAACCCTCTTTAAAATTCCAACACAATTATATACAGTAACTGAAATAATAATATCAAATTTCATATAGAAACATAAAAAAAGAATATCAAAACAATCCTGAGCAATAACAGAGAATCTAGAGGCATCATCACCATCCCTGATTTCAAATTATACTACAGAGATAATTTTAAAAACATGGTGCTGGCATAAAAACAAACACATTGATCAATGGAAAACAATTGAAGACCCAGGTATAAATCTACAGACCTACAGACATCTGGTTTCTGACAAAGAGGTCAAAAAAGCACATTCAGCAAAGACGGTTTCTTTAACAAATGGTGCTGCATGTCAAACTGGATAGCTACATGTAGAAAAATAAAATGATACTCTTATCTCTTGTACTTCACACAAACTCAATTCCAAATTGATCAAAGACCTCAACATAAGACCTGGCACCCTAAAATCTGACGTGGGAGAAAACAGCGAATACACTGGAAATTATAGGAATGAGAAACGACTTTCTCAAAAGGGCCCCAGTAGCATAGGCATTAAGACCAACAACTGACAAAAGGAACCTCATGAAACTAAAAAAGCAAAGGTGCTGACACTATCATTCAAGTGAAGTAGCCAACAGAATGGAAAAACAAAATCTGTATCAGCTGCACATCTGTCAAAGTGTTAGTGTCTAAAATATGCAAATAAACTTTAAAAACTAAACATCAAAGAAACAATCCAACTAGAAATTGGAGCATGGAACTAAACGGCAATGTCTCAGAAAAGGAAATATAAATCATTGGGAAATACGTTTTTAATGTTGAACAACCTTAGGCATTAGGGAAATGCAAACTAAAACTACTTTTGACATTTTATCTACCAATTCAGAATGACTAAGATCCAAAAGACAAACCACAACAAATGCTAGTGTGGAGGCGAGGAAGGGAGAACACTTATTCACTGGTGGTGTGAGTGCGAACTGGTGCAGCCATTATGGAAATCCAAAATAGATCTACCATATTATGTAGCTATGTCACTCGGGCATATATCCAAAGGTTTCTGTATCTTATTACAGAGATACTCATCCATGTTCATTTTTGCTCTATTCACAATGGCCAGGAAATGGAACCAGTCTAGATGTCCACCAACTACTGAATAGATAATGAAAATGGGGTCTATTTACACAACAAAACATTATTCAACTGTTAAGAAAAATGAATTTTGAAGCTCACAGGGAAATGGAGTTGGAAATAATCATTAGAAGTTAGGTAACCCTGACCCAGGAAGACAAATGTCATATGTTCTTTCTTATATGTGGATGTTAGTTTTGACTCTTTGGATATGCGTATTAAAACTAGAATACCCATGAAAGTCAGGAAACCAGTAGGGGTGAACAAGAAAAGGCCAGACAAAATTCCATTGTGGAGGGGGAGGGTGGTCAGGAACTGCACCCCCCCCCACCTGAGCTGGGAAGCTATTGGCAATTGATGGCTGCTGCAAGCAGGAGAGTCAGTTTAGAGGTCCCTACACCTGTATACATATTGGCAGCATTGAGGGAAAAAAATAACACATGAAATTGGGAGGGAATAGTGGGGAGGGGTTGGAATGGAGGGAATGTGGACTTATATGCATGCATAAAATCCTCAAATCATAAAGAAAATGGGCTATATAACTTGTAAAGAAAGTACATTCTGCTTGTGTTGGGTGCAACATTATTTAGACGTCTTTTGGGTTTATTTGATCTACAGTGTTGCTCAAGCCCAACGGGATTGCTGAACTCATCCATCTGGTGTGCCTGCATCTTCCTGGGAGAGGGCGTGGAGGACAGAGAATGCTGGTGTTGGGGTATTCACAGGTCTGGCAGGTGCACAGGAATCCATGACCCAAGCTAGGCCTTGGAGTGTGAGATGGTGAACAGGGAATGCTGGGATTGGGGAACTCACAGGTCTGGGGCTTGTACCAGGGTAGGGGACCTGAGATATACCTGGAAGCATAGGATGTTGGACCTAGTCCTTTTATTATCATGCCTTTTGCCTTCTGTGATGGTTTGCTACTTAGTGGCTATTCTATTTAACATAAACATAGCTAGCTTTGCTTGCTTTTGCTTGCTATTTGTATACTTATCCTTTTTGAGTATAAATATACTTAAGCCTAAAATGCTTTTTTGTAAAGGTCCCAAACATATTTTATAAAAACAATCAATAAATTTGAGAAAAATATAGTCTTGAAGATAGTATCGCGATTGACTGGAAAGCAAAGAATGGTTCTGAGTAAAAATAGGGAGAAAAGAATATCCACATTCAGTATTACTAATCAATATTGCAGTAAAGGTACTGAGACAATAGACACATAAGAGAAAGTGGAAAAGCATAAAAATCCAGAAAAAAAAATTATTTGTATCTGATAAAGTTCTGAATCAAGAAAACAAATCCCATAAGTGAATTTACTTAGTGTGGCACAAGATTAATCTACAGAGCACCACAGTCTGGAGCACACAGATGAACAACTGTAAGAGGCTACATTTGGAGAAAAGATTAAATTAGCAGCAAAAGTATTTAAGTTAAAATACTTAACAATAAACTTATTAAGATATACACACACAAACTATATATATTCAAATACTGAAGAACAGAAAAAAGTGATTTTCAATCCAGAAACTTACACACATTCAGATTAATTCTCATTTGAGAAGGCAAACAAATACAATTTCAAATATCTAGTAGACATTTAAAAATCAACAATACTTCAGACAAGTAACAAAAATAAACACTTAAGACAATTTATCTGCAGTAATGGAAATAAAATGCACAGTTAAATTTAAATTTATAGATACTTTATTAGCAGCAATTTAGACCCACAAAGTTTATTCCCTGGGTTCAGATCTTCTAGGCTAGGAAGAAAAGATGCAGATTAGAGGGTAAAGAGACACCACACCAAGCCAATCAAGTATAATTTCTAAAATATGAAGAACCAGCAGATAGAATAAAAAGCCAGGTATGTCAAAATCGAAGTTCAAAGTGCAATCTAACAATGACAAAACAAAATCTTCCACAAGCACCTTGCTCAACTGAGAATCAAAACACTAAAAAAGTAGTAGTTAAAAATATGACTATAACTGAGTTGTGATGTTGTCAAAATTAATAGCAAGAATATATAATGTATAATATAGTTTTACACAACTCATTTAAATGAGTTGGGTTAAAGTATGAGCAAAACTTCCCTGTTTCTAATAAAGCTTTACAGTATCATCTAACAATGAAAAGCATAGCTAGTGTATATACTATCAACATTGTGATTCTTCATGTTTTTTTTAATGTAGCAGGAGAGTGAAAATCAGGAAAATATCTAAGTGCATCAAGTGGGAATAAGTATCTGAAGACTGAGAGAGAGCTATATTTGAAGACTGTCTTAGTTACTTTTCTGTGAGAAAACTCCATGACCAAGGCACCTTACCAAAGAAAAAGGTTATTTTGGCTTACAGTTCCAGAGGGAGAGTCCATCATGGTGCAGGCGGCATGGCAGGAGGCAGCCAGAGCAGAAAGCTGAGAGCTGACTTCTTCAACACCACGAAGCAAAGAGAGTCAATGGCATGCGGGGCAAGGCTATGAATTCTCAAAGGCAGTCCCCAGTGACATACTTCCTCCAGGAACGTTCCACCTCCTAAATATTCCATGGTCTTCCAAAACAGCACCACTAACTGGGAACTATATATCAAGTATTAAAAAAACTTAAGCTTATGGGGGGGGGCATTACTTATTCAAATCACCACAAAGATGGCAAATAAATTTGAAATTATTTTACTTAAATAGATCTGTCTCAGGATCAAGACTTCCTAAAGTCACTAGAAGTAAATTTGAAAACATTCATAAGAGTGTGAAGCAAGAAATACAGTAATTATCCTTATACTAACCACTTATCAAATTATTATAGTTTAAGACTATTATGCTACAAACATTCAATTCACATTAAATATGTGTATATGTGTATACATACAAATAGACATAAATGAATACCTTTTACATTTTTGAATATGGAATGTATTTTTTTGTTTTTACTTGGTGTACTTCCCACACAAGAATTACATTGACATTGATTTATATTATATAATATCTATTTTAAACATGAAGAAATAGTTTCTGAGAAGGCAGTAGCTTTCTGAAGAACTTGTTCAAGACAGATTGCTTATGAGGTGGTTGTACCAACTGAAAAAGAGATATTGATTTAAGTAATATGCTTGATTGTAATTTCCATAACTGACTAATGTCATGAATTAGAATAGGAATAATGTTGTTTCACTTACTTTACAATAAAATGTAGAACTCTCTTTTTCATGGGCGCCTGTGTTTTATTTATGTATTTCTTTTGAAGACGTCTTTCTACTGGTTTCTTCAGTGGAAGGGCACAGGCATCAAGAGAGGAAAAAAAGAGTTTGGACAGTGTGTTGGCAGTTCTCCATCCAATGTATTTAGAGAAAGCTTCTTCCCCTACATTTGGTAGAACTTTTGCACTACATTTAGTGAAAGGATCAACTGGATCATTTAATTCAGCCTGTTGAAAGCAAAAAAGGAAGCAATTGAAATATGATTAAATTAAAAGGAAAATGTGAGTTATTAAATAAAAAATCAAAGGAATGTTCAATTTTCTTTGACAAATATTGCATTCTTTCTACTAAATGAAAGTAACTGTGGGGCCACAGAGATGTCTCAGTGGGTAAAACCCTTGCCACAAACCCTGATGATGTGACTTTGATTCTGAAGACCCACATGGTACTGGCAAAGAGCTGATGCCTGCAAGGTGTCCCCTGAGCCCCACACACCACTTTGCATGTGCATGTGTGCACATGCAACACACACAAAAGATAAATGTACTTTTAAATTTTTTAAAAAACATTTGTAAGAACAAAGTTTCCCCCAAATCAAAACAAAAAAATCATAACAGAATTTTCAACTAAACAATTAGGCATTAGTAAACAGCTTTGGAATCAAGAAGATGCCCCACAGACATGACCACAGGTCAGTCCTATGGAGGCAATTCCCCAATTGAGGCTCCTTCAACCCAGGTGTGTCATGGTGACACTAAAGCTATCCAGCACACGTTATGTTTTGAATCACGTAGAGTTTAATTTAGGTGAGTCATGTTAAAACCATGAACAGAGAATGAAAAAATTTCAGAATATTTCAGAAAATTTTATCGACACAAGGTTCTTTTTTGAAGTTTCCTATTTATGTTAAATAATATCTGACTGACTAAATTATTTTGAAATAGAGTATTATTTTCCTTTGCTTGACTTGGTAACAGCAAATGAAGATTTCATTAAATCTCATGTGTTCTCTTTTTTAAATGCTCACAGTATATTCGTATTTTAAGTTATAAGTTGCATACTGCTTATTTTCATCCACATTTTTGTAGACTATTAGGTCTTCATGTGACTTTTTACCATTACTCAGAATTCATTTTAGATGTCTGCAATATCTATTATAGAAAAAAGAAAAAGAAATGGTGTGCCTCGGTAGATGGCTCACTCAGTAAAGTGCCTGCTCAGCAAGCATTAAGTTTTGACCCTCCAGCCACATAATAAAGAAGTTTCCCTTACAATGAACTGAGTGAATGTAGAGACTCAAGGCTATTCAAGGTGCTGATCGTAAGCAACAGCTGGGTGCTCCACCCTAAGCAGCAGGGATATTGTGGACGAGGCGGCAGAATGAATATAAGATGGGGCGAAGGGCTACAAAATGCTGTTCTGCTTATGACACACCCGTTGCAACTGTGGTCTCACTGAAGTTGCATTTGCCTGCACTGGGCCTGTGCAGAACTGGACCTGTCAACAGTCAAACACTGATGTGGAGAGACTCCTAAGACCACACCTCACCCCACTGAACTATTGGCTACTGGTGGAGGACCAGCAGTCATTTTCACCACTGTGTACCCACAGGTGAGGCCACCAGACTCTGCTGGGCAGAAATCCATGTTTAACAGACAGCCCTGGTTAATATCAGTGGTCACAAGACAAAGCACATGAATGTGAGAAAGGAACTTGTAAAGCAGTGAGACAGGTGAAGGTGGGGTGGAGACAGGTGAGGGTGGGAGGGAGACAGGTGGGGGGGACAGGTGAGGGGAGAGACAGGTGAGGTGGGGGGAGACAGGTGAGGGGGACAGGTGAGGGGGGAGACAGGTGGGGAAATACAGGTGAGGGGGGGGGGGGAGACAGGGGTTTTTTGTGGGGGAAACAGGTGAAGGTGGGGGGTAGACAGGTGAGGGTGGGGGCAAGAATAATCAGAATGTATTATGTAAATATATGAAATTTTCAAAGGAAAGAACTTAATAAGCTTAAACTTTAAAAGTTGAAATTTTAAAAAGTCCCACAATTCAACTACTCAAAATAACGATTATGAATATTTTGAATTGCTGTCCTGAGATTTCATCTCATGTTATGTGATCACAAATATATGTACTTTCCATCTTTCTAAAAAAGAACATAAAATATCAGTTGGACAGGAGACATAGCTCAAAAGATCTATTTACAACATGGTGACTATACTTGATAACGATGTAACATATTCTTGGAATACGGAGAATAGATTTTTAAGTGCTCTGCAACAAAAATATTAATCATGTGAGGTAATGTATGATAATTGCACTGGTTTAATTACTCTGTAATAGGTAAATATTTCAAAATGCAATATTGTACTTGGAAATATGTACAATTTTATTTATTAAAAATAAAATTAAACAGTTAAAAAGTGGCATCATCAGAACAGGAAACCCTTTTATTGTGTTTCAGAAAAATAAGAACTTTTCAATAGTTCTCATTGAAATATATCCATTTTTAAAATACCTGATTTCGATTATCACTGGATACTGAAATGGGGATCTAAGTGTACAGTTATGTTACTACTATTTACAGTTGATCTAAGTATGCTGCTTACTAAACAGGTATCTTGTACAGAGTATTCAACTTAAAACAGAAATCAAACTGTCTCTAACACTTAGTAGCTGTTGTGCTTCTGAGGACATTATTTGACATCTGAGTCTAAAGCTTCCTTGGTAAAATAGTAATCACAGTACCTGTACTGTGCCTTCTACTTACCACCACCTGTCTTAAATTCTCAAACAAAAGGCACTTTCAAATGTATAGTAATATGTGATATGAACAAATTTAAGACTTTATTGTAAGTATGTCAATTACTAAGACAGTGCTGATGAGTGAATCAATGAGTAAGCAAGTAAGCAGACCAATAAAAATAATGAAAATGAACAGCAGACCCCAATCTTATCTAAAGGAATATTGACAACTGATTGCTGCTAGATGAGGAACAGCTGACCTTCCTAAAACAAAGACCTCTAGATAGGCTGACTAGATTCACCAGATGGACAAGTAGTGGGGAATGGCTGGGGGTGCTGACAGCACAGCAGACAGCAGCAGGGATATCAGAGTATAAGGGCTCTAGTAGGGGGAGGGAGGCTATGGGAGGGTGCCATCTGGGAAGTGGGTGTATAGTTGAATAAGATGGTTTGGGATGTTCTGTGTAATACACACACGCACACACACACACACACACACACACACACACAAAATAATATCAACAAATTAAAAAAAATGGATTCTCATATCATAGTTTGTGGAAAACACATTGCTGCCAAGGCTGCATTGCTCTGCACCCTAGATTCTGATGCTGTTTTCATCACGTCTCAGTTGTCTACCCTTACTTCCTTCTTTTCAGGGCATGGCTAGCTGTAGGTCCAGATGCAGCTTGCTCAGCAAGATAAAGGCGTTCCTGCATCTTTCCTCTGGTTCCTTTTCTGGAAGCCCAGCAAAATCCTTATCCTGCATTGATGTCCAAAGCCTTCAACTTATAAAAATCTCAAAACTCGGGACTGAAGATATGGCTCAATGATTAAGAACACTGGCTGCTCTTGCGGAGGACTGGGTTCAGTCCTTAGCATCCCTGTGGTGACTAACCACCATTCATAACTCAAGTTCCCCATTCGAGGGGAATCTGATTCCCTCTTCTGACTTCCACCAGCATTGTGCAACACGGGTGTACTTACATACATGCAGACAATATATACTCATACAGAAAAAATAAATCAATTTTTTAAAAATTCTCAACTTTTAGTCAAATATTTTCCTTATCTATAAAAGCAATGTTTATTTTTCTGCAGGATATAGCCAGAAAAGAATATGGACTCTACAGTTTGAAATAGCTGAAATCACCTTTGGCTTTTACACTCACTACTCTAGGCCTGTTTGTATTTGCTCTGTTCCGTCTTACTCTGTCTTTTGGAATTTTGTAAGGGTAAACGAGATCGTGTGGATGACTGCTCTGAATGAGAAACTCAGCAGACCTCAGCTCTTTTCTAGAGTTGCCTAACCTCAGCTCCTATTCCATCCAGTAAGACTTGCAGCCTTGGTTTGTGAAAGCTAGTTTGGTTACAAAGTTACTTTTGCTTTAGCAAATTTATCAAGATCATTCTTATATTTCTATAGTTATCTTTTATCTTCAACTTCCTTCCAGTAAAGGAAGGAAACTTAAATGCCCCTTACTCACAATCTTAAATCTTTACTTCTTATTGATAGAGATAGAAAAATGTTAGTAACCATCCTTTACAGCAGATTTCAAACTCCCAAGTTTCCTGTTAGCCTACCAGTGGGTATAATCTCAACCTCAACATTAATCATTATGTATTTACTTTTTCATTGTGTGTTGTTCTTTTTCAGTGATGTGGGCTTTAATCAGTCAGGATTTTTTTATTGGATTATTAACAGTTAACATTTAGTTTTCGTTCAGAAACAAATGGCAATTTTGAGTGTCTGCACTTACAATAAAAATTTAAAAAGTGTTACCCCTGGTATGACTTCTCTTGCATACATATTCTAACCACGGGTGAGAACATGCATGCTCACACTTTGGTAAGAGAATAAAGATGGTAAAACCAGCATTTACAGGTGAGTAGGAAGAGGACACACCAGCAAAAGGAATATTCCTTGGGAAATTAGGATATAGTAGCAATTCAAGAGAAAATAAGGCTCTCCACATTTCCAAATTTTGTATCTACCATCAATAATCAGAGAAATGGAGAAAATACACCAAAATTTGAGCTAACTCATATTACTAGTGACATAAGAGGAAAAAAGAGAAAGAAATGGAATGGTGGGCCTTTACAGCAATTCTCTCTCTCTCTCTCTCTCTCTCTCTCTCTGTTTCCTTTTCTTTTCTTTCTTTTTTTGAGACAGGGTCTCCTTGTAGCCAGAGCTGCCCTGACATTTGCTGTATTTACTAGGCTGTCCTGGATCTCATAGAGATCTGCCTGCCTCTGCCTCCCTAGTTCTAGGATTAATGGCGTGCACCCTCATTTTTCTTAAGTAATGTTAGAACTGAGGTATTTTACTTGCTTTGGAAAATATTTTTTCCAAGTTTAGGTAATTAACTCTTACACTCAAGATATTATTTTCTATAAGAATTATAATCATACAAAAGAGACCAGCATAATCAATTCCTTGCTGTTAAAATTTTGTTCATGAGGGCATCATCTTCATTACATCAGAG